AAAGCCAGCTTTCCAGCTGCTCTAATTTCCCACAATTTAATTTGTGTGCTGTCAAAAGCAACTTGGAGGCTTCCAGCAAGATGACAGAACTATGGGTGAGACTAAGCAGAGGGTCTGAAATGTGCTGAATGCATTGCAGTCCCACGCTGTAAAAACATCTCCTAGGACCAAATACAGGCAGTGTAATATCCTAGTAAATTGGTCCATTAAATAAAACTGCAAAGTCATAAAGCTGTAGCATTACCCTGAAATTAAAGCATTGTCACCTTTGAATTATGGAACAATTTAACAAGCATTTAGGAAATATGCTTTTCAAGGCTGAATTTAACTATTCCAGGTTACACAGTAGAAGGTGTGGCTGCACTCTCCTACTGGGTTTTGAATGACTTTCAGCTTGTATGTGGTTTCAAATTTTACCAAGCTGAGAAAATAATAAAATAATAAAGTGGAATAATAGAAAGTAAAAATAAACAGTGACCTTTGCCTGGAGAACAGCTTTTTCATTCTCATTGTAAATTCACATGTGCAGGGAGAGCTCATTAAGTTGAGTAAATGGAGAAAAAACACATGTAATATGGACAAACAGGAAAAGATAATGATAACCTCTTTGTTGAAATAAAGAAAAGATGGCCTTATCTACTTGGATTAGCAGCTTCCAGACATTGAAATGGCTAGAAGGAGCTAGTGACACTCAATTTGGTTTGCATCTGTGTCACTTCCTAAAAATATAATGAAAACAAAAGCAAAAAAAAAAAAAAAAAAAAAAAAAAAAAAAGTAAAGAATTTATTTATTTTTTAACAAAACCAAAAAACAATCCTTATAGAGTGAAATAGGAACAGTGTTTGGAGACCAATTTTCAAATGGCATAGGCATTATCATTGCAGAGGTCTGCAAATCTTGAATGTAATTTGCAGACAGCTTTTAGACCTCTTTCTAACTGAAGTGATCTGTGTGCATATACAGATTTCAGCTACCTGACTTGTGTGGATCCTGAAGCATGCCTGAAATGCAAGCTCTCACATAATTGTCTGTAGGCTTCAGAGTACACACTGACCAAGCTGTAGGAGGAGAATTCCTTACCCTCCTTATGAGGCAGACAACTCTGTCTTGGCAGAAGCCTTGCAGATATGAGATATGAATATCAGCCTCGTAGGTATTTGGATATATGAGTTTGAGAAAATAGAATGGTCTTTTCCCATATGCTGCCAGGTGTGACATGGAGAAAATGGTACAGGATTAAAGCCCAAGAATTGACCTAAGTGGTGAGGGTCTTTAGAAGAAAGGTTGCCTTCTGATCTTTGGAAGCAGGTGGACGTGGTCTTGCTGTTGTCTTGAAATGGTTCAAGAATTTACTGCCCTCCAGTGGTTTGTTGTTCCTTCCTCAGCTGGCTGAGATGCAGTAGGGAACAGTGCTGGCTCTCCCACTCCATCCCAAAACACACTAAAGTTTAAATAATTTTCAGGCTCATTTGCTGCATGTAAATCAATAAGTGGCCTTTTGAAAGAAGAAATTCTCTGGTTTTACTGTGATGTGAATACAAATCCTTATTCTTCTAGCAGGTTGTGTGTGAGTCTGTGTATATTAACTAGTCCCTCTACATCTCACATTCCCCTTTGTAAGATGGAAGTACTTTTTCTTTCCCTGGGAAGTGGGAGGAAGCATGTCTGAGGAAGCTGAATGCATCTCTCTTCCTTTCCCTCCTAACATTGTTGTCAACAGATCTTTTGTCAAGCATCTGTGGTGTGTTGGATCTCCCTTCCAGTATGAAGGCTTCCGTTCAGACTCTCAAGTTTTTTAAGCCTCTTTCAGTGCCTTTTGGGGGGTTAAAAACAGAAGGAAAAAAAAAAAAAAAAAAAAAGAAAAAGTGGAAGATGTAATTCTGTGTTCTTTCTACACCAAGTATATGCAGGCAAAAAAAAAAATAATAATTTTTGAATGGTGGTAGCTTTTACTGTCCAAAATGTGTGCTTAACTTTCTTTTAACTAGACCAGTGAGCCAAATGTATATATTTTTTGGGAAGCTGTGCTGTTAGTTACCTATAGCTCAAAGACAGAGCATACAGGCAATCTTTGAATTGACCAGCAAAACACAGATCTAACCTACAAAACTAATAAGCATAATAAATCAGGCATATGTAGGTTACAAAACATCTGAAATATAACTGTGAAATTTTTCCTTTCTGCTACTACTTTTTCTTCCTCTCTGTTCTGATTTACATGCTAAATCACAATTACATTCACTACAGACAGAAGTTTGATTGGTTTTCCCTTTCACCTCACAAACTAGGTGGAGAATCTGCAGTTTACTTCTCATTTCCACAAGATCCTGTGGAGAAAAGCAGTCTTTGAAAGTCAAAGTTCAGACTGCAGCGGAACAGCTGAGTGCAGTTGTAATAATAACAAGACCATTGGAAATAAATGAACAATCACAGAGGAAGATAAGAGAGAGACTGGTTGTGTTGTCTGTTTGATATGCTTGTCAATGAATGGTTGTCCGTTACAGTGCTTTGTCCAGCCTCATTTCAAACACGCTAATGGATTGTATTTCCAACACTGCTTGGGAAGACTTTTTCATGCTATGATATTTTTTAGTCGTCTCCCCTCCCCTTTTTTTTTCCTAAATAGTCCTTTATTGCTTGTAAATTATCAGATCATGATGCTTTTGGCTTTTCAGGTAACCACACAGCACTTTTTTTCTGGTGTACAAGTACAAAGTCTGGAAAACATGTCAGTGTTAACTGTGTTGCAACTCTAGCATTATAGGCTGTTGTACTTCCTGAGTAGCAATATAGCCACTAGTATGAGCATTGATTTTATTATAGTTTCTCAAAAGCGTGTTACTGATGTTCAGTGGAAGAGTTTAAGACTGCCCACCTGGAACTTCCAGCAAAGCAGTTCATTCAATTCTCTTGTTTTTACATCTTTGTTATAATATCATCAATTTAGTGTTTGTTGTCTTTCAATGGTAATACAGGTTTTTTAGTGAAGGCAGGGCTTAAATTTCCATCAACTTCAGTGAGAGGAAGTGAGTTCATCCTCAGCTGTTTTTGAAAAATCCTCTCTGTTCACATCAATATTTGCAGGGAAAAAAAAAAAAAGAAAAAAAAAAAGACTGGTTGATTGGGTGATAGGAATCACTATTGCTGGATGTATGAGGTGTGTTATGAAGTCACTGAATTATATTGTTTTGGAAGCAATATACTGTGCAGGACTGTGTAGGATTTTATATTGTGCTACAGCATTGACTGGTTACAAGCACTGAAGCAAGTTTTAGAAGCAATAAATTTGCAATATTTCTTGTGATTTTAATCTAACTTTTATGTGTCGCACATTGCACCCGTGTTTCATTGAGATCCAATTCAAAGGATCTATAAGCAGCATCCTGAACTCAGTAAGAATCACAGAATTATAGATCTATGAGAAAACTGCTTCTGTTCACGGTCCCAGAAATGATGAGAGTTGTGAGTAAATCTATGGGTTGCAGGGTGTAAACTGTCTTTACAGTTTCTGAAGTTCAAGATTATGCTGTAAATTGCTCAGAGAGTGGTTTCTCCCTAACTTGGACCAGACATGTTTATATGGTTTCCAGATGTTTGTTGTTACTTGCCTGTCATCTGAATGCCTCCATAATGACAAGCCATTAACTTATGTGTCTTTGCAAAGATGGTCCATTTAGGGTTTATGCACGCCTATTAGAGTTCTGTCGAAGTCATCTGTGGGATATTTGTAGCTCAAGGGAAAAATAGGTCAACTGCAACTCATTACAGTGGCCACAGAGCTGCTGGGATCTGTGCCAGTGTATTGGGGAGTAACTGTAAAGCTAGTGCTGTGCAAGAATTCAGCCAAAGTTATCTGGCAGTAAAAACATCTGAATATTTCAATGCACAATTTTAAAGATCAAATTTCCTTCCCTTTATTTTTGCCTCATCAGTACCTTGTATCATCCCTGGGTGAGCATGGTCTTTGATTACAGAGGAATTTACTGGATGTGTCTCTTAATAACATCATGGAGCATGTGCTGCGCTCAGTCCTGTGAATCCTCATTAGAGAGTTTGCCTTTTACTCTGGGTCAGCTCAGCAGATTGGTCATTCAGGCTGTCCTTGTTATCTTGTCCCTTGCTATCTCACCAGAACCTGTTGGGAAATACCCTCCCTGCTAAGTTAATTGTTCCTAATTTTGATGTTCTCCTTATCATGCCAACCTCAATGCTGGTTGTGAGCTGGGTTGTTGCAGTGCAGATTGCTGCATAAGCCTAGATTCTGCTGTTTGTGACCTGAGCAATTCTTTGCTTTGCCAGCAAATGCAATGAAAGAAATGAGAATGGGGTCCAGAGCATGGAAAAGCATCAAAATGTACAGTTAGCTACAGATGCTGAGTCATATGTTCTATACTATCAGCCAAGTGGGGCATTGCTCAGTTTATGTGCAGAAAAATCTGGGAGTTGAGTAGAATGAGCACTTTGACTTGTAACTGGGCAATAAGAACATGTTTGCAGTTGTAGCTTTCTGCCAAGAGTTTTGTTTGTGGTGATTTTGTGAGCTTATCAGCTGCAGTTCATATGTGGTGTTGTTGTAACAGTGGGCTGTACACTCAGGTCAGGCTATGTTTGCAGAAGATGAAAGTTACCATCCTGATCCATATTATTAAGTCTTTTCTCTCAAGACTGAAGACAGCTGAAGTGCATCTAATTTTCTCCAGATGCTGGCAACGGAATATGTAGAAGATCTCCCAAGATTCCTAGGAAGCTTTTAATTTCTCTCTGGCACAGCAGGCTGTAGAATTTGCTCAAGCTGGTTTAGGGAGAAAGTTCTGTGGGATGTGTTGACCTGCAGGTCCTCATCACAACATCGTCATTTCAGAGCCCAGGGTCTGTCTGATCCTGTCTCTAATGCAGTAAAGCATTAGACTTAGGTTGATTTTTGTCTCCTGCTTTGTTGCAAGTTTGTTTTGCTGTTAACTTCCCACTCAATCCTCTTTTTTGTTTGTTTGTTTAACAGAAGATAAGATCTGGACTGCAGTGCAGCACAACAACACAGAGCTAACTAGAGTCCAAGGAGCTGGTCTGGAGAAGCCGTACACCATGTCCTTTAACTACAACAGTAGCATGGAGCAGCTTGAAGCTGTGATAAACAGTGCGGAGTACTGCGAACAGGAGGCAGCCTACCACTGCAGAAAGTCACGTCTCCTGAACACCCCAAGTAAGTACCATGATCCCAAATCTTTCCTTGTTAACTGCTATTGATTATATAGCAGGTGCAGGCTGCACTTGTAACTAAGGAGAAAGAAAACTGCACGTGTACTAGCAATACAGAATAGAGTGAAAAGCCTTTGACTGTCTTGGATCCCACTGTGCAGTGGCTACCCTCTGACGTGAGATGGACAGAGCTCTGTAGGGGAGTTACCACTGTGTAAGTTCATGAGTACAAAGGGTCTGAAAGCTTCAGCAATGGAAAGTACTAGCTGGAAAGCAGTAAAGATTTGTTTAGCTGAAGATAAATGGCTCTTTTCATTCATTTACAGTTTTAACTCTGTATTAAAAAGAGACAGCATAAGAGTCCAGACTCAGAATGGTTCTGAGTAGGAAGGGTGTATCCTCTTCCAAATCTGACAGTCTTGATTATAATGTTTAAAGTGCTTGGTAGAACAGTTTCTGGGGCAAAAGTAATTTTCACCTCTTGCTAGAAGGATCAAGTTTTTTTCTTTGACTTAATGTAGCAGCAACAACAAAGCAGAGAGGGTCTGATTAGTTTGTATCTTTTTGTGATAGCAAAACTACAGTGGCTACTCAGAGCACTTCCACTCAGCCCTTTCCTAGGGTCAGGATTTTACATTCGGTTATCCAGAGAAGAGGAATGCCATTAAGGGCACATTTCTGGATGTCTCCACAGTTTCATCTGGTTACTTGTAATGTCTGTATGGTCCTGGTAATTCTCTGATTATTAGGAACTCTTAAATTTATTTGTAGGTTAGAAGAAATCCCATGAAAATCCTTAAGGGGAGCTTGCAGTAAGCGTTTCTGTTGTGTTAAAAAATACCTAATGACTGGTTCCAGCAAAGTTACTATAGCACTGAATGTTTATGGATCTAGTGATCAGATTCCTTACAGGCAGTTTATTTTTATAAGCTGTGAGTTACGCCTTTTGTCATCAGCAGAATTTACTAGCAGAATAGAACTGCTTATACTGCTAATGATTTTTTAAAGAATGAGATATTACTATTAGCACCCAGGGTAGAGCAGGAAGAGGAAACAAAGAACAGGAGCTGCTCATGAAAAGAGAGAAGTATCTTATCAATACTTTCAGTGTCATTGTCTGCTGTATCCCACACCACTCTTGACACATGTTATGAAAATTTAATCACTACAGTGATTAATTCTGAAATAATTTTTTAAGGGTGAAGGACACAGTATTAGAGCAGGTCTGCACATATTTACTTCTATGCATTTCTGTGAGGTATTTGGTCATGCACACAAAGAAAGAAACACTATGAGTGTATGCTGGAGGTACATCTTAATGGTACCTCTGTAAAGCTAGGGATGCTTCTTAGAGATCCAGACCCACTTCTTCAGAAAAATAAAATAACAATATTTGCTAGATTGACTGTTGCATGTAACTATCCTTCTCCAGGGCTAAAGCTGTTTACCAACTGGCAGACATAATAAGCCTGATACGTAGTGCCTTCACCACTTGTATAGGAAAAAAGATATGACACTGATTCCTCGAGGGAAGGGGTATGGGGATGGTGCCCAGCAGCCTGGTTTGCTCTCTTGCAGTTGCTGCAGTGCTGCTGTGGTCCTGACAGTTGACCATATGAGACTCATAGCTCTTTAATACAGCTCCAGCTGATAAATCAGAAAAAATTACAATCTAGTGCTCTGCATGTGGCAGACTCTCATTTCTAGCTCTCTCTCTTCCTCCTTTTGTATGCTTTTTAATTACACTTTCAATTTTTCATCCTGAACTTTCTCAGTAGCCTGAGGCTGTAAGTTTGGCTAGACTTGGAACATACTCAAAAATAAATTGTCTGAGCTCCTGAAATTACAAGGTTTGGGGAATATACTTGTTCTTAGCTGAGTATTCAATGTTTTTAAATAGTAGAAAGGAATATTCTCCCCAAAAGCATTAAATATCATTTTGTTAATTGATACTCATCTTGAAGTGAACTGCTGCTATGTTGTAGAAATATACTAGAGACTCAGTGGTGCTGAGCACCATGAATATTTTGAATAGTCCTAAGATTTAAAGAATTTAAATTTTAAAGAATTTCCATTTCTAAACTTGAAGGTGAGATGTGTGTGTGATTAACTTCGGGGCATTTTCCTGGGTTCACTGCAGAATATTCTCAACTTTGTTATTTATGCCCAGGAGTAATTGTAGTGAGTTTGATACGGGGGTCAGAGCAACAGAATGGAAATCAAACTCTTTGGGTTGGTTTCTTGATTTGGCCCAGGCTTCTGGATGCCTGAATCAAGGGTATCATGTTTAATTGTGGTTAATGAACCACATTTTAGATATTCCTTCAGAAGTTGGTATGTAAATGCATGTATTGACAACAATGCCACATTCATAGGCTAATAGGAAGCATCATGTCACGTAATCCCTTCTGCTGAATATCACTTACCTCTGGACTAAGCCCAGCAGTGAGTGTTTGATGGAAAGACATCTTCCAGGGGTATATTGACAGAACTATAAAAGTTCCCCTTCCTGCAAAGGATCTAATTCATTTCTGAGCTTCATCTAGTGTGGGGGGTTGTTGGGTCTTTCTTTTTTTTTTTTTCTTTCCTTCATGGAGAAGGAACCTCTGATTAGGATATCTCAGCTAGTAACACCAAAACCCTAAATCCTTGTCTTCAGGATCTAAACACTGTCATGTTTCACAGAGAAGGAATAAAGAGATTTCTCTTTCCTTTTTCTTCCTTGACTTCACTCTCCAACAGAGGTGCATGCTGTTACATAGTAACTTAAGCTTTCACAGCTTTGATGTGGGGAAAAAATAATGTGCCTAGGCAAAGGAGCAAACATTGCTTTCTGGGCTGCCTCAGAGAGAAAAACCAAGGGAGGCTCCCAGGCTTGCATAAAAATTGTTCCAATTTATATCATGGAATTTGTCTTTCTCCTTACTACCTCTTGCCCTGAAGGCATAGGCACCTCCTCAGTGGGTGTAATTCAGTGTAGTCTCCCCATTGAGTTACTTGAATTTACATCTGCAATGTGTCAGACATGCAATCTGGCAGTTGGCAAAGAAGTTTACTCATCTCCACCTCCTGCTGTCTGGAACAGCCTTATCAGTTCTCACTGTCATACTATGGCTTAGCTGCAAACATGTCTTTGAAAACTAAAATTAAATTGCCCTGAACTGCATTTTTGTACATCTCTGCTATCAGCTGGATTTTCAGGAGTTTTGTGAATGTTGGAATAGATGTCTGTTCATCAAAGTAATAGCTGGCTTTCACGATGCTGGAAAATGAAACTTTTAATCTATGACCAGTAATTGCAAATCTCTTGTGACTCTTTCGTGCCTGTTGGAAAGACACCTACATAACAAGAGCAAGTATGACAGTTGGCGTTAATTAGGAAAGTCGTCTGCACTCTTAGCAAGAGACTGCAGACTTTATCACTGCCTCCTTAGAAGTACAGACCATCTGATGAGGACCAAGACAAGCTAGTAAGAGCTGAGTGGTGAGGGCAGGAAGATTGGGCTTGTAATTAGAAGAGATATTTAGGTCCCTAAGGCTCTGATTTCCTTTCCTTGGGGAGCATCTCAGCAAATAACCTAAGGCAAGTGTACAAGGAGAGGTGCATGTGTGCACATGCACATTTTATTACACTGCTAATAGATAAGATGTTTTAAGGTGTGAAAACAACCAAACAAACCCTCTCACTTCTGACTGAATTTACCCAGGTTGCAAGAAGCACTGGGTTCATAGCAAGCGCACTCAAAGGCTTAATGTTTGGAAAGCCACCTCACATACACCATATCAAGGACAATACAGTGATGGATGTATCAGTGGCAGAATAGCTTGCTTTACAATACTTGGCTGACAGTCAGTCAAGTTCATAGCACATTTATGTAGGCAGAGACTGAGAAAAGATCAGTGTTAGAGCAAAATCAAAGAAATAGGAATGTCTTTTTTTCTTCTCCTTTTTTTTTTTTTTTCTCTCCAGTAGAATTACCACACCATGTAGCTTCAAGCTTTGATTTCAAATGTCCATCCTAAACTACACATCTTTTTCCCGAACTTCTTCCTTGTCCCTGTTAAGACCTGTGAAATCTCAATAACATAGGACTTGCTCACTGGATTTCTGCTTCCTTTTCTGCCCTCTGCCTTCCAGTTTAGACCTGTTACCTCAGCACTGAGGTGTTCCATGCCAAGACCCCTTCATGCCAGGCATAGCTGTTCTCCCTTGCCTCTGTCCTACTGCATTTGCATTTTGTTCCTCTCTTACTGCCTGGAAAACATGGCAGCAAGAAGAGTGTCCTAAGTTCTCTGAGTTTACATTTCAGTTTAGACATGATTCTTGTTGTTAGGATAGTTCAGTGGTGCTTCATTTTTGCCCTGTAGTGTTGTTAGAGCTTTTTGTCTATACAGACTCCCTAGTCTTTAGTTACAGGTGAGATCTGATGTCAGAGCCTAAGATACTAAGAAATGTCCTGCAGGGTCAGACTGCTGGTGCTTTTAAACCAGTGTCTTGCCTCCAACAGCAGCAGCTGGACAGATGCAGCTTAGGTTGAGTACACAAGTCTGGAGGTTTTCAGTATGTTGCTCAACATGTTCCCATCACCCAGAATTGCACCATAATTGCACCATTAAGTGTATTAGAGCTTATACCATTCCCTACTTCTTTTAGCATCCGCTATGGTTTGGGTGTCTGTAACTTTGTCTAATCCCTTTATGAACCTGATTGTATTTCCTGCCAATGAAGCCTACTAGGAAAGCAAGTTCTGGAAGTTCCCCAACTGCACAAAACTACCATGTAGTACAAGTCATGCAAAAGACCATGTTTTAAACCAAAGTCTTATTTGCTGCACTTGAATTCTGCTATTGCATGATGCAGTGAATCAGTCCGGCACTCATCCACTGCTTTTATAGTCCTTTTAGTTGCCCTTCTCTGGAACTTCATTAGGTCCAGTATTTTTTTCCACCAGAATTGACCCACAGTGTTTGAGCTATGCTTGCAATAAGATTTTATGTAGTGAG